ATAATAATAGAAAATGTTTCTTGAGCAGCAAATCAGCATAGTAGGATGATTTCTGAAGGATCGTGTTGGAATAAAGTGCATTTTAAAATATGTTTCAATAGGAAATAGTTATTTTAAATTGTTATAAAATTTAACAATATTACTGTATTTTTAATCAAATTAATGCAGCCTTGATGTGCATAGGAGACTTCTCACCGAGAATCCCACTGACCCCAAACCTTTAACTGATCATATATAAATAACATATGCAATCTTTACTGAAGTAAAAAAAAATATATATATATATATAGGAACATTTATAGGCAGAGTTAGTAAAAATAGCCACAGTTGCCTACATGTACTCTTAAATACCCTGCCAACAATTATTTGGAAATAAGGAAATAATACAGCAAAGTGCATCTAATTGATTTAGTCCTGAATATCAGACTGTAATTTTCCACCAAATTATGATAAAATAAAAAAATCAAAACATTAAATGATGTGTGATTCATAAAGATTAGACCATGGCTAATTCAAGATTAAGATCATATTGGTAAAGTGGCAGAGATGAGAGGAGGACATGAAATTGTCTGCTCGAGATGCACTCTGGTGTTGCTGTTAGTTCTGGGTGGTAGCAGGAGGCCCCATACATTAGCAAACTCTTTGAAGTGAGTGACAATGACAAGATCAAAGCTTCAGCCTGATCAAAAACAATGGATCTGCAGCCTCTTCCTGTGCTTGAAGTGCTTTGGTCAGTGCTCTCAGGTTTTTCTTCGTTTTAAGTCGTCTGATGACATGGGATTGTTGTAATGGAGAAGTTATTGTCACAAAGGGATACACAAGAAAGTTTGTTTGAGAATCCTCTATATCTCAGCTTTATATACAGTATCTCTTATAATATTGACCAATATTACAAAAGACACAGTGCCGCTCTTGAGTCACCAGTAATATGTTACAGTCATAGAATGTCTTAAAGGCACAATATGTAATTTTCGTCGCTGGAGGGCGTGTATTCAAAATAAACAAACGGACAAAGGTGTAGTTTGATGACGCTGTGAGTGAGTGTGGAATCATGGGAGTTGTCGTTTTTATCCCCACAGCCGATGCAATCCGACGGGACTCGGGTAGAAATCATGTTCATGGATGAGCTAATGTATTCAAGATTTATTAACATCGTAGTATGAAGCAGAGTGAGGTGGAAAGCCGTCGAATCAAGACGAGGCCGCTGAAGCAATTGCTAATGAGAGACGAGAGTGACACATGGCTCGAAAGTAGCGGAGCTTTTATTATGCCACACTTTAGCGCTTCCGCTCCTTCTGGTCGTGCGTATGTGGGGTAAAGCAGCGCTGTTTTATCATACTAGATACGTTTGAAAGTCCTGTTATAATGCTACTCTGTGCGGTCGTCATCTGTCTAATAAAACGCACAACATGTTAAAGAGTCTTTGGTGTTTCCATGTTTTCTACAAAACAAAACCGGAAATCGAGGGTGTATGACGTCATTGGCAGGCGACACAATGACACTATAGACACGGTCCGTGTCACTAGTTAAAATTGCTTATTTCTCTGGATTTAAACATTCTTCAAAACATTTGGGATAATGTAAGTGCACAAGTCAGCAAATTATATAACACTGTTCTAGTGGTTTTTGGATATTTGAATAAAAAAAATCTTACATATTGCACCTTTAATGTTTATTACATTATTTTAGTGTCGTGTGTTACCATGATTATTTTTTTGACTGAGACAATGCAGCTTTTATATATTAGTATTTGCCACAATTTCTGAAAAATCTACTTGTGATAAACTGATTTTAGTAATGTGGTATATTAACATTATTTCAGTTAATGAAATATGTTTTCTAATTTGAGTTCAGTCTGTAAAACTTAAAATGTTGCTACCATACAGCTGCCAGCTTTTTACTGTAAATTTCACCGATTTTTTTTTTATTCTCCCTTTTACTTTTTCTTAGAGTGCAAACTTGCATATTGTGGAGATGGATATCGCTATGAAGAGGCAGAGGAGTGTGACAGAAAGGATTTTGGATTTCACACATGCAGATCCTTTTTGCCTGGGTAAGACTGTTCAAGCCCATTTAAAAAGGATAGGGCAAAGCTAAAACCCCCCTTAAGGAAAATGAGCCGTTTTCTTGTCCCAAAGACTTTGACAGACAAAAAAGGGGAAAAAATTTATTATTATCATTATTATTATTATTTATTGACTATTATACTCGAGCCAGCACAATGTTATATTAAAATAATATTGTAAAATAATTTTGATTTGATTTGTCCAAATAACATGCATGTCTTTCTGTCCACAGATCTTATGGACATCTCAAGTGCACAGCTGACTGTTTCATTGACTCAACAAACTGCAAGTATTTCACATGAGGACACAAGAAAGCAGTGTCTCATTTCAGCTGGTGAGATCCATATAAACAACGACACTGAAAACCGTAGATTCAGCAGATAAACCGAGGTAGAAATCATTGAGGGAATTATCACAAACACATTAGCTGAACTCCTCTGTTGACATGATGCTGAGAGGCCATGTAGATCACACGGGAAAAGAATGCTCGGCAAAGCCAAGTTGTGCTCGCGCACTTAAGAACTCTTAACAGGACTTCAGACACCATTCTCCGTTCATTCAGCCTCTGCTGCCTGCCGCTCTGCCCTGGCTTGACATTTGGCCAGCGTGGTTGGCTGCACTAAGAGGAAACAGGTAAGTTGGGTGCCTCTTGGAGATGGGTAAAGGACTCCTCAATACCTCAAAGTACTGTAGTACTGTTTCAGAGGAAAGCCATTTTCTCCTGGTCAACCCCACCTTCCCTCACACAGGGTGCTCTGTATGTGGAATGCAATGAGACTTTGTTACTATAGTATTTTGCATGAGGCTGAGATTGCTGTAGACATGTCAGCAGAGATCATTACCAAGGCATGTAACTGAACAAAACAAAAGTGGCTCATATCTTTAAATGTAATATTATGTAGGCTTAGACCAAACTGGTGCTTGGCCCTGGATGAAACCTAATAATTTCATTTTCTTAAACGACACTGATGTACATTAGGGTTAGTACAGTTTTGCATACTAGGTCCAAAATTAGCTTGTTGCCATACAGCCCAATAGTGGGTAAATTGAAGAAAAAATGGAATTTAAGAGCTCATAAAATGGCACAATTATAAGCCAAATGACTGTTTAATTGATAAACATATCAAGTCGCTCAATAAAGATGGTTGTTAAGTACTTTTCGATATTTTTTGATACTAATCAAACATTACCAAAAATGATTCATGATGCAGTGAGGGAGTCAAACTCAGTAACATCGCTGAAAGATTAACTGACTGAGTCTGATTCAAACACCATACTCAAAAGCAAATTCAAGGCTGTGTCGTAAAGAAATATTAGAAATGTGTTTACCAATACATATGTTAGGTAAATGTGACCCAAAGAAAAGATGGCAAAGTTGTGACCGGAAAGGGAACATATATTCTGATTGGAATTCACCCTATAATGATGCTTTTGTTCATTTCTTTGCAAATTGGAGGTCACGTTCAAGAAACACTAGCGTGCCCTCTTACGAAATCAGAATGATGAAATCACGTATAGAAAAAATGACTAGACATTGAATTTTTAGGTACATTTTTGTCACATTTGCGTCCATATTTACTCACCGTTATGTGAAACGCTACCTCTCATAAACCATTTTTACACTCATTTTAGTGGTTTCTTGCCATTATGTTGCAGTGACCCAAATGGCCAGTAAATCCATTTACTTACTCACCAAATTCCCATTTTACTTCAGTTTGGCACATGGCAGGTGTTATTTTTGGACCCTGGGTATAAAACGTGTGTTTTCACAGACTATTCAATGTAAAAAAGACTGCATAAATGTACTTAAACAGTAACCACAATAATACTACTGACTGACAATAATTTATTAAGGATGTTTAAGATTAGAAGACCCTTCTTTCCAGGTTCTCAGTATGTTTTTGGGGTCACACTTAGTTTAACATTTCCATCATATCTCAGGAAACCACTTAAAGATATCCATAACCCCTCCACCTCCATGTGTGGAGTAGGGTGCACATATTCCACAGTTTAGCTTAGTTCCACGTTGTTGTCTTGTGCTTCAAGATCTTGAAGTAAAGCAAACACTGCTTATTTATTTGGGGTATGGGTCTGAAGATCTTAAAAAAGGGAGGAAAAACCCACCGATCTCATGAGGAAACCTAACTATTTTACAAGTTGGCAATTTGTGCGAATTCGTACGATGTGATTTGTACAAAAACGTACGGTTTTTAGAAAACAAAGCAAGCATGAAGTTCTGTCCCTAAACCTAACCATCAGTGGGGCGTAAACAGATTGTGTGAAAATATAGGAATGGGATTGTACGAATTCATTCAATATAGCCATCAATTCACCAAAATAGTTTGGAATTGCTGTGAGGTTGTGTTGGAAAAACCATACAGCATGTGAAGGCTCTAAAGCTGTTTTTGAACATTTTGTACTGTCTGCAATTGCAGGGGTAGCATTTTGCTGCTATTCAGGCTAAAGACTGTTGGAATAAGGCTGGACTGTTTATGTCGTCCCAAAGGCTTTAAACTGATTTATACCCTATGCCAAAGTCCAGTCTGAATATACCTCAGCATATATGGTGTGCTTTAGCCTTTGTGATTACAGGACCTGAGGTGTAGCTTACAGCACTTACTTACTGTTAAATTCAGTGAAATCTAGCTTAAGTATCTTTTGAGTTACATGACTTTTTTTGATCAAGCCAGTTTTCCATAAGCTATATGATGCATTTGCTATAGAAACCTCTTTGCTTACATTTCTGGGGTGATATTCCTGACTTACTTGTAGATTTCATGTAAATGATGGATATCTTATCGAAATAAGTGTCTTGAATTTATTATTCTGGTGAAACTGCATGTTTATATTGTATACTCTTGTTCAAAAGAGCAAAATTGCCACGTATATTGATGGCCTATAACAGGCAGGAGTTTTTGGAGTTAAAGTGCATTTAGCGTGTAACTGACTGTTATCCTCATATTTGTACAAATTGAGGAAAGGTGTTCAAATCAAATATTGCACAACAAACAAATACAAAAGAGATTGAATGTTTTGTCCTAGTGTAATTTGAAAGCTGTTCTCAGTATTAAAACATGTTTGATACTATCCTGTAATGATGTTAAAATAAAGCTTGAAAAGCTATCACTGATGTTTATATTGGACCTATTTATTTTCTTCTAAATATGAATTTTGTGAGGATTTTGTCTTCATATTCTTTCATCAAAATGTTGTAATATATTACACAATATTGTCAATGCTAGTTGGCCAAAGTCAGAGCCAATCTGTGGATTTTGAGCAGTCGGAGGTGACAGATTTAGCATAAAATCGTTTATTGTATGATGGGCCCAAGTTATTCAAGTCGTTTTGAACACAACAAACTCATGCAGAAATATGCCCCTTGTTGCTATGAGATGCATGACAAATGAAAATGTGTTCTAAAATTGGCTGAAAATATTAAACATATTTGATATCCGACGACTGGATTGAATCATAGTATGAAAAGTTATGAAAGTCTGTCTTTTTGTGTCTGAAGCTTTAAAGGGGTCATATGATGCGATTTCAATTTTTCCTTTCTCTTTGGAGTGTTACAAGCTCTTGGTGCATAAAGAAGATCTGTAAAGTTACAAAGACTAAAGTCTCAAACCCAAAGAGATATTCTTTATAAAAGTTAAGAGTCAACCACGCCTACCTAAAACGGCTCGTTCTAACACGCCCCCAACATGTCAACGTCACGATGTGGGAAGATTTGCATAACAACGCCCAAATGTTCACGCAAAGAAAGAAGGCGTAACTTTTATTCTCGCTGTAGTATTGATACAAATAAAAGTAATGCTTGTTACATACTATTGACCCAGTACTGACACATATTATTTATCACTCTAGGCCTCCGCTCACTCAAGCCCGCCGTGTGTGACGCTGTTTCGTTGTGAAAGCAAAACTTCTTTGTTTGGCCTTCCAAAAATGGACATGACTAGAAATCAGTGGTTAAGTTGTATTTACAACACTGTTCTAGAACAGTTCAACCCAAATATTCCGATGTGTCCAGTGCATTTTATGGAGGACTGTTTCCTGATCCTGGGAGAGTAGACTACAATGCCGGCCGTTCTGACTCACAGACTGTAAGTACGTTTTTTATATTTAAAGAATTTGCAACTGACGTTGGTAGTTTGTCATTTCTCCGATCACAAATGCAGATATGGCTTTATGTTTACGCGGCGCGATGCAATGCAACACAGTGTTACAAGTTCTTGGTGCATAAAGAAGATCTGTACAGTTGCAAAGACTAAAGTCTCAAATTCAAAGAGATATTCTTTATAAAAGTTAAGAGTCAGCCACGCCTACCTAAAACGGCTCGTTCTAACACGCCCCCACATGTCTACGTCACGATGTGGGAAGATTTGCATAACGCCGCCCAAATGTTCACGCAAAGAAAGAAGGCGTAACTTTTATTCTCGCTGTAGTATTGTTGTTGCCGCTGCCGCCATGTCGTGAAGGCGCTGTATGTTTCGTTGTGAAAGTGAAACTACTTTGGTTGGCCTTCAAAAAGATGACGATATCCGCTTCGTCATGCCTGGAGCTGATCCGTGCTGGTCGCTGAGGGAATACAACAACTTCGCGCTGTGGATCACTGGATCGGCTTTCACCGTGGACGAAGCGGAGTCCAGCCCGGGGTCACCAC